CCAATCACGAAGAAATATATATTTCCTCTTAACGGTCCTCTTCGTTCATTTCATTGAAAGAAACGTTGAGAGATCGGTATTTTCGACTGTGTACTGTCTATGTGCGCGTGCACGTAGGTACACTATTTTTCTATAGAAGATATTCTATAATTGCATTGAGAAGAATATAAATTTACGCAAAAATCTGCGGCTAAAAAATTGCTAGAAAATTTGAAACTGTAACGCATCGATAATTTTCCACCAAAGTTTCATTTTTCTAATCGTGTCATCAAAAAGTCAGAATTCCCGTGGAAATCGAAGGCGATGTGGTAGTAATATTGATTTCGATCAATGACGCGTACATTGAGTCATCGGTCTCGAATGTGTTTGAATCCTCCTTGATCGTAGTCCATCGGACGATTCCATGAGGTGAATTCAATTTAAGTCGCAAGTATAACAATGGGACTCAATTAACGCGAACGAAAGACGGAGAAACGGACGCGGAAACGGGGCAATCGATTCCATCGATAAGAAGGCACCGAGGGTTCACCTTCGCCTCCGAGATAAATCCGGATTAATGCCGATGAGGCGATCGGAAGAGACGCGTTGAATCTTAAGGGGATAAGATTATGGTAAATATGATGCTTTGCAGTTAACCGGTTCCACGCAGGCTCGTAAATCGCCAACAGGATAGCGAATTTATGCAGATGGCAATTTAACGTAGATCTGACCAGATAACCAACCGGATGGGATACATCAGACTCGAAAATATGGAGTTTACAAATGAATTCGTTTAGGTTTTTAGGATACACCGCGAAGTATTTCACTATGAAATACGTTGCCGTTTGAAAGCTAAAGCCACTTCGAAGAAATAATGCCCCGAATTTGACGCAAAGGACATTCACGGTTTCCCGAATGAAGAACGACTCGAGAAGAGTTAGAAATACATAACTTAGAAAATTTTCTTTGAAGCACGCGGAGCACCTGGATCGTCGTAAACCTGTTATTTTGTGGTTCATGGCCACGTTTTTGCTACAATGGTACTTCATCGAATTCCCTGTTACGCGATTGAACGCGATGGTCACTTTTTAAATAAAATCTGCTGTGTTAAAAGTCATGAAACTTAGTATCTATGATGTCTGTTAGATCGAGATCTTAACTTTGGACATCGTACGATTGTGACGTTATTGCGATACCCGAATTTGTATATTTCAATGTTGCACTTATTGTCAATTGCAAAAGGAAGATGTTTACTGTGTTTTAAAATTTAATTGAGAAATCGTGCATAAGTTAATAATGAGAATTTTTTTCATATTTTATTCAGACTTGCGATATTGTTTAAGGTTAGAAAAATGCAAATCGATCGGAGATAACTGAAAGAACGCAGAGTTAATCGTATATCTATAGATACAATTTTGTATATCTTCACAATTCACCATTTATAAAATAGTTTTGTAAATAACAACTAAAATACATGCAATGAAAATATTTGTGCTTAAATAAAAATATTTAATTCCGAGATTATATCGAACAAATGTTTCCTTTCTTTTCTTTCCAACGTTGTCTTACGTCATCAAGCATAGTCTGTCATCGAGATCATTTTTAATATTTCTGAATAAAAAACGAAAAAGATAGCTTCAAACGTAAAAAAAACAAAAGCACATCAAACACTAATTTATATTGGAATTTGAACTTCATAATATTATTTTAGAGACGGACGGTCTTTAAGACAACAAAAATGGCACAATATTTATCTTTTGTAGACAGGTGAAGAACAAGGGAACCGATTTCCACACACAAAAATCGTAGACTATGGTTTCGATTCAACAATTTTTTCGCCCAAGGATTCATTCAACGAACCGATCGGTAACGAACCTGATCTCAGGAATCGGGAATAAAAGGTGCCGATCGGAAGGAAAAGAGAAAGATCAGGATCGTTAGCCGAGCGGACGACAATGTTCGTGGCGTGATTGAAACCACCATGGCAACAAATCACTCCTTATATGTATAGTTGATCGGCGTTTCTGCGCGCGCGAGATGAAAAGAAACGGTGCAAAGAAAAAAAAGAAAGAAAGAAAGAAAGAAAGAAAGGTAGAGGCGACCGCGAAAGAAAAAGACGAGGACGAGGAAGAGAGAAGAGTGGAAAGAGAAGAGAAGAAAAGGGATCGAGCAGTGAGGCCCCATGCGGCGCTGAATCACGCTCGGACCTTTTTCACTTTGAGGTCCTTCGGCTCGGAGCTCACCTTTGTTAGGTTGGCGCCGTGATTTTTCACGGTCGGCGTCGGGGAATAGTCGAAACACGGCGCGGCTCGCCTCGACTTGTATTTCAGGCCCTTCGTCTGGTCGGCTTCTCTATTTCTGCCGCGCCAACTTAACTCCACCTTCTTCGTCCTTTTTTTTTCTCTCTCTCTCTCTCTCTCTCATTTCCGAATCGATTATTTCCAACTATTTTTACATTGGGACTCTGGCGCTCCCGTTGGAATCCTCGGTTTCGTTTCTGCGATTCTCCGTATAAATTATATCCTCCCCTGGAATGAAATTGATCGCCAGCCGATAAAATTCTTTTTTAGGCGACTATTTAGTAGAAATTTTTTCGTATAGTTTTAAACATATATTATAGATAGATGTGCGATGCATAATCCGTCTTTCAATCCATTTAGTTTTTTTTCATACAATTACAGGAATACTGAAATATACAGATATGTGTACCAAAATATACGATGCAAGTGTATTAACATATTCAAATATTATTTTACGTGATTATCAATGTGCAACACTTATTCTCTTAGGAATTCTAAAATTAATCACACATGCAACATGTTTAATTCCCGTTTTACTTTTATTAACATTAGTAAAATTGCATTATTTACGTGTTATATAATAAATATCGAAATTAAATTTCTTGAGGATAGTTTCCCTACATAAATATAAACCATGTCACCCTCCCCCGCAACAAATAAATAGAATTCAATTCGTTTTCTTTTAAATCTTAAAGATCTCTTCTTTTTTTTCAATGGCTTTCATAAAGAACAAAAGAGAGGAAATGGGTTTTCAATTTTGTTTTCAATCCGTTTTTTTTTTTTCTTCTTTCTAGGTTTCGAAGTTCGTTTTCTTTCCCGACAAGCGAACAAAGAAAAGCAGAGAGGGAATCGTTTTTAATTTTGTCATGTCGACTGAGAATTTAACATCGTCGCGATTGAACGGAACGGATTGGAAACGGGCGATCGAGAGAGATTTTTAATAAAAGCGCCGGAAGGCCGCGTGAAAAATGAGACGCGAAGAAGCGGAGAGAGAAAAAATAAGGGGCGGGAGGATCGGAGGGCTACGTACAACATTCCTGTTCGCGTTGGATCGATACCGTTGTCGAAGTTGCGTTCGATTGTAACAGTCGCCGATAAAGGGGAAACAGATATGAGTGAGCGATAGAACGGAAGAATCGGAGAGAAAGAGCAAGCGTAAAATGAGAATTACATCGAAATCAGGCGATGGGTGTTCCGCCGATCAATTGCCACTTTGACAGCGAATGGCGGATACTATCGATGATCGGGAATGATTAATGACGCGGCACGGCTATAAACGCGATAATCTGCACCAGCATCGAAAACGATTTACATTGTACCGTTTCTTGTATCGAAAGTGTTATCTATAATATATGTACACGCAGGACCACCTCTGCTCATTTCGAAACGATTGTTCTTCGATTTCCGAAGGTTGAATATGACGAAAGTCTACTTTTGAAATAGCAAAATGAAATACATATAGAACCAGTGATTTTGTAATCGTGCGTTTGTCGAACAATGAAAAGTAATTTTCTTAATATTTTTTAATTTAGTATTTAAATTGTTTCATAATACGTTGAATTACACCGATTCTTGTCAGAATCTTTTTACAAAAGATGTGAAACTGCTGTGGGATATATTCTTTGTGCAACGCGCATGAAATTCTATTAAAGCGTTTAAAGTTTTGCGGTAAAGTGCTTAATTACATTCATAATAGTCGTAGGCTATTAAGATACAAGCACAGATTATTAATCGAGTAATAATCGCCGCTTTAATACGAAAGTTTTGTAGTTGTAATTTCTCTTATATTTCGCGTTTACTAAATTTTGAATACAAAGGAAATACTGTAATCGGCGATGAAACGTGAAACTTAATGCATTAACTCTTGAAACTTTACGAATAATATATACGCAAGATGGATTTCCTTGAAAAATATTTAAAACTAGCAATTACCGAGAATCTAATATTTAAACGTTCATAATTATCATCGAAGCTAATGTGAGAGACCAAAGTTTAATCTTGTTGTTTATTTCTCTATCGTTAAAAAATTTCTATCATTAAAAGTTTTTTATATTTATGATAATTGCATATTTATATGGTTATACTATATTTATTACTATACTATATTTATTACTATATTATGGTTATACTATATTTGAAAATATATTTATAATTGAGGAAAATGAACCCGAGAAAGAATAATTATGCATTTGATTTCTGAATTTAGTGACATATGTACCTACATACAAGGTTCTCCATTATTTCAGGAAATGTTTCGAACGAAAGAAGAAAGTAACTTAGCGTAATTACTCTGTCGATGGATGAATAAAGATATACGAAGGTCGACTTCATTATTATGCGTCAAGTAAAGTATTGATAGTTCTTCAAAACATTGAAACTGCTTTTCTCTAGGTTTAAACTAAAGTAAATTAAGACTTTAAAAAAATTCAGCATCCTCAACCGTGTCAAAAGCACGAAGATAACGCGAAATTTTTGAGAGAATTCGCAAAATAGCGTTAGATCTAGAGAAAAGAAAAGAAGAAGAAAGAAACGTTGCACATTAGCAAAACGGAAGTCACGGTTTCGACAGAGACAGAAACTATCGCGAACACGTTTGACAGGGAGGGGAAATCTCGTGCAAACGGTCTCGCCGTGGCACAGTTTGCACGTACATAGAGTAGTTGTATGCCGAGTCAAGTCAGGAACAAAGAGTCCGTGTAACACGATAGTGGGTTTCGTGTTTCAGGCGGGCATGCTGCGTGGCGATCACGGGGAGTTCTGGTTGGAACCAGTCGCTGTGTCCCCGGAAGAAGAACGAGTCCAGCTGGAGGTTCGGCTGGAAGACGCCGGCGCCGGGCTCTACCGGAACTCGGTGCTCGGCAGGCCGCATCTCGTGTTCCGTAGGTCCGTCGAGCAGCCGCAGCTCGAAATCGGCGCCACAGGTCGCGCCAGACGCCGACGAAAAAAGAAGAGAAAACTCGAGAGAAACTGCGGCACTCGCGGTGAGAATCCACCGACACTGTTTTCTCTTACTCTTTCGACGCAGGCTTTCGTTACCCTGTTTCAGCCTCCTCCTTTCCCTCTTTCTTTCTTTCTTTCATCTTTATTTCTTTCTTTCTTTGCCCTTCCGTTTCTTTCACTTTCTTCGTCTTCTTTCGTCGATTCCCC